AGCTCGCCGCCTCTCCCCGCGGGAAACACCAGAAAAGTGGAGCGTCCAACCCCTCTCAAGGAGTTGGGTTCCAGAGCCCAAGCTGTGTGTGGAGGTGAGGCCGACTATCTCTAGTCGGTATCGCTCAACCTCCCCCACAAGCTCGGGCTCCTTCCCCCCCAGTGAGGTGACGTTCCACGTCCCAAGAGCCAGATGTTGGGTGTGTGGACTGGGTCGTCGAGGTCTCCGCCTTCGACCGCTGCCCAGTCCTCGCTGCACCACGCCACCACGGACCCCTCTGCAGGTGGTGGGCCCACAGGAGGGACTGCCCACGTCATCCCTTCGGGCTGAGCCCGGCCGGGCCCCGTGGGCTAAGGCCCGGCCACCAGGCGCTCGCTTGCGAGCCCCGACCCCAGGCCTGGCTCCAGGGTGGGGCCCCGGCTGCGCCATGCCGGGCGACGTCACGGTTTTCGTTGTCGTGCTGTCCATAATTGTAACTATTCATATTTCAAATTACCAGCAAAATGATGCCATATTTTTAATGTAAATGGTTGCTTGAATGGAAAGATAAATGACAACATAGTGTACACATGTACTGCATTTGTTTATTAAAACAACAATAAATCCACATTAAACTGTATTAGCATTATTAACATTCTTTCTTTCTGTAGTAGACAGTATTTTTTCCTCTAAAAAAAAGTAAAAAGACATTCTCTTGTTCAGTAACAGAAAACGGTCTGCAGTCCATTGAAACCCACTCGGCAGGAACTATACCTGATTTATTTTCTAATCAATTCATAAAATGCATATTACTACATACAGTTGTACTAAAACCCGTAATTTAATAAAAAAATCGAGCTCATTGATTCAGCTTGGGTATGAATTCAGGCCATAAAAGGTGCTGAGTAGAAACTTTGCATGACGCTAGCTCTCCTCCACTTGCAGAACGAGGAACGGCGCTGTAACGAACAGGCTGCCTCCTCTAGCGTTTACAGCACAGGTAAAAAGAACAGCATGGCAGCAGAAAGAGGCTATACTGTACCTGCTCTGGCTGTAACTGCAGACACAGCAAAATAGCCCAAAAGACGCAACAGTGAGGAGAAGTAGAGGGAACTAAAGCAGAAAAATTATCAAAGATGGTCAACGTGGTCTACTTCAAGCCAGGTTGAGCTCTGGAACTAGAAGCCCAGGCTAACGCATGCTTAGCCCGTAGATGGTACTTTAGGGTTGAATTTGCTGCGGTGGAACTGGAACTCCTTCTTGCAATGAGTGCAAACCACAATCTGCTTCTTTCTTGTTCCGTCTGTATTCTTTTTAAACGTGAATTCCCCATCCAGAAGGTCTACTTGCTCTGTGTTATTATGGGATGCATGGGCGGGTCAATCTGCACATTTGTCAGATGCCTTCATTTTTTTTTACACGATTAAAGGAGCTATTTTCGTTTCTGCATTTTCGTTTCTGTTTAGCACCGCCCCTCAACTCGCTCACAGGCTTCTCATTTCCCCTACGCTCTCATTCCACGGAGCCATCTAGTTTTATTTGCGATCTGTTATTTATGCAAACATTAGCATTAACACAACTTCTTGTAAGCTGTACAACCATCACTGATGAAATGGTACAAAAAGCAATGCACTGCTAACAAAATATATAACTGAAAGATTACCGCTAGTTCCGCGTCCAAATGTAGTCCGAGCATAGATAGTCCGAGCACAGATAGTCCGAGCACAGATAGTCCGAGCACAGATAGTCCGAGCACAGATAGTCCGAGCACAGATAGTCCGAGCACAGATAGTCCGAGCATAGATAGTCCGAGCATAGATAGTCCGAGGCAGTCCCGCAGGTCTCTATCATAGACAAGTCTCTCCAGAGGATACGATGTAAGCTAGCTATGTTCATTTGGCTTGATTCCTTCTTTGATAATTTTTTCGCTTTAGTTCCCTCTTCTCTTCCTCACTGTTGTGTCGTTTGGACTGTTTTACTGTGTCTGCAGTTACAGAAGAGGAGTTATAGCCAATTCTGCTAACATGCTACTGTGTTTAGCAGCGCTGTAGAGGCTAGAGGACGCAGCTTCGTTCTGTGATTGGAGGAGAGCGAGCCTCACGCTAAGTCTTTACTCAGCACTTTTTACGGCCAAGTTTTCAATAAATTACGGATGATAATACAACTTGTATGTAGTAATAAGCATTTGTTATTAACTCATTCATAAAAAAATCGGGTATGGCATCTTTAATGAAAATGTTTTATTAACATACATTGACGTGATAATTTTGACAGCCCTAATTATAAATAAATGTGTAATTAAACAAGATGCAGAGATAGTAAAAGGGACTAGTGAAATGGTCTTCCTCAGTGTTCTCACAAATATAACTTTTGCAGTGTTCAGGCCCATACCCAAAGAAAACTGACTGATAATTTAAAGAGGCCCAAATGGACTATTCTCACATGGCAGGTTTTTGAAAAATGCAAAGTTTGTTTAAAAGTAACATTATGTACTTGAACTAAAAAGAACAAAACTATCCATTTTGAATCTCCATCAGGCAGTATTGGTGCAGATAAGCTCTCTACACTCGCCACAATCACAACGGTAAATCCATTTGTCAAACAGATACACCTGATACTTGCTTTCTTTGTGCTCTTTTCAACAGGCCCAAACGGTGACACTGCCCCTCCTACTCCCATGGGACGCTCCACAGCCCCCACCCCGTGCAGACCAGCTCGCGGACATCCCTCATCTGTAAAAGGAGGCTTTGTCACAACGTCTCACTCTGGCCGTTTAACTTGATAGATACTATTGAGTGGTTGTGGGTGGCAAAGGGTACAATTTCCTCTGGCTATAGATAATAAAGTTCTACAATTGCCCGAAGCTTCCCATGGAGCGTGGGTCCTTCCTGCTTTTTTCACCTTGATCTCTGGATGCTCTGTCTATCTGTCTTTTTCAAAGCATGGCCAATAGATCTTTGGTTCCATTCCTTGGGTTTAGTTGTGGGGCTTCCAAACTGTTGACCCAGGGTGAAAATTGTCTTGTCCTGTAGGTTTTATTGAGAATTGGATCATTACTGACAAAAAAATAAAAAATATAAACATTTGTGTTTATTATTCTAGCCTTTAAAGGAGACATATTATTGAGCTTTTACTAATGACTTCCTTGTCTCCTTCCTCTCTGATTCTCCCACTTTGTTTACCTCTTTAGTCTTGCCCTCAGCTTGCTAAACCTCGTCTACAGCCACTAAAGTGCTTTTTTTTTCATTACCCTGTTGAGGCTCATACTCCTCGACACTCTACTCTATGGGGTCTGTGCTGTGTCTGTGTCTCCTGGTCTGTGCTCTACTGGATGGTAATTCCGTAATGCTTTGGTGTTGTAGCTATCTTTGCAAGCTGTGTTCTACTTTTCCTCAGCTGGTAGCACAGGAAGTTACATGCAGATACCATTGTTTAACAGTGATGCATATGTTTTATCTATAAAAACGTGTGTACTACTACAAAGTCACATTGAGTTGGGGGGGGGGAGGGGTGGGTGGGGGTGGATACGTCTGGTTTCATCTGTACGCAACAGCCACTCCTGCATCGAAAAAGGTAGGTATTATCTTTAGAACATAGACTGTAAATATTATCGGAGGTAGTGTCTATTTCCTCCATTTAAATATATGTGCCACAGACCTGAACAGATGGGCTGGAAAATGTGAAAAAATGTATTCCACATTGGCTAAAGTAGGCTGGTCCAAAAAATATATACTAGCTTTGGGCCAAGAACGTTGGACCAGGCTGTAAAGCCGTTTTCAAGAGGAAAGAAGTCGGCATGCAAAAGAATTGAGTAATTCTCAATCCGGGTCCACCCCCACAGACTTGGAGTGAGATTGCAAGTGTGGCAAGCTGGACTTGGCCACCATATTTCTGTCCAGTAGAGGGCGCCTACGCCCAGTATAAATAGCCTAGATTTACGTCTTTTGTTTACCTCTGCACTTCCGTCTCTTGTGTGTCGTCGCGCCAGCCCTTCTCCTGCTCCAGTGCCGCGGTGTGGCATTGTGCCCCGCGAGTCCTTCTTGTGCACGGCCACACTGTTCAGTCGCTTTGGTGTCTGGCCGCCCTCATTGCTGGGGTCCGAGTGCGTCGTAGCCGGCTGTTGGTCTGGGCCTGTAAACCGCTACTCGTCAAGAGTGCGAGCTCAGTGTTGGCTGTGGAAATGCTGAGGACTGGCCACACCGCGGCCCACCGCTGTTTCTCCCGTTGTCTCTCGTTTCTCTCCATGTTCTTCTATGTTTCTGTTGGGTGTTGTTCACCTGTACTCCTGAGTCCTTTGTGACAGGATGATGTGTGCTTGTGAATATTAATGTGAAATGAAACAGAACCTAGTTGAATCAGGAGAACTAAACGGAACATAATAAATCAAAGTAAACGTAATGTCTGTGCCTCTCAATTATGATTTACGAACCTGTGCGCCTTAGAGCGCTTTATATTTTATTTTGGGCACTTTGCCCTGGCGTTGCTGGTTTTTCTTTCTCATTTATATTTTAATATTATTTAAGGAGCGCGTAGCAGCCTCCACTTTGCCACACTTGGCGTACGCTGGCAGGATAATCGTTAAAATGAGGCATAGTGTACTCTGTTCTTTGTAGCCAATTTCAGTAGCATTAGCGTTTTGTTTTATGTGACTTAAAACCTGTCATTGTTTTGTCTTGTGTTTTATTATTTTCTTTGTTTTGATGTGCTTTTTTTTGTGTGCTTTTGATTTGTGCATGGTCTTTGTTTTAAATTTAAACACAGCCATAAAATGACACGGCTAAAACCCTCACATGTGAACTTTTGCTATGCTATCTGTCTGGTGTTGCTGTAATGTGTCGCACTACTGTTGTAAATTCTGTGTTTTGTGAAGGAGAAACAGCGGTGGTTGGAGCAGTATAGTTGCGGAGAGATGAGACGGGATTTCAGATGGTCACCCGTGAAGCCTAGTGGAACCTGCACACCTGTAACTCGGAGGCTCCTGTGGCGTAATCCCAGACAGCAGTGGTGTAGTGAGATTAAGGATGCCTCACTTGGCGTTTAAGGCGCACCTGTTTACCTGTGTGGTCAGGGAGTACTTCCGTGTGCAGCAGGTAGGCTTGAGTATGAGAAACTTGCAGTGGATTTTCAAAGCCTTCAGGGCCTCCTTTTCTCGCCTTCACGGCATTGGAATTGGAACAGTGATCATCCAGTTGCGTTATGCTCGGTGGCTGCCACTGATGTGTTTTTAGTTTGTTTTAAGCTTAGCGCTGCGTGGTCTTTTAGTGGCTCAAACCCACGTAGACCGGTTTTTAGCTTTTAGATGCGTGTGTCAGGAACGTTCATGTATGAGTGATAGCGCTATATTTGAGAGTTGTGAGTTTAGTTGACGTCGGGGCGTCGTCAAAACTTTGGGGGGATGAATGTGGCAAGCTGGACTTGGCCACCATATTTCTGTCCAGTAGAGGGCGCCTACGCCCAGTATAAATAGCCTAGATTTACGTCTTTTGTTTACCTCTGCACTTCCGTCTCTTGTGTGTCGTCGCGCCAGCCCTTCTCCTGCTCCAGTGCCGCGGTGTGGCATTGTGCCCCGCGAGTCCTCCTTGTGCACGGCCACACTGTTCAGTCGCTTTGGTGTCTGGCCGCCCTCATTGCTGGGGTCCGAGTGCGTCGTAGCCGGCTGTTGGTCTGGGCCTGTAAACCGCTACTCGTCAAGAGTGCGAGCTCAGTGTTGGCTGTGGAAATGCTGAGGACTGGCCACACCGCGGCCCACCGCTGTTTCTCCCGTTGTCTCTCGTTTCTCTCCATGTTCTTCTATGTTTCTGTTGGGTGTTGTTCACCTGTACTCCTGAGTCCTTTGTGACAGGATGATGTGTGCTTGTGAATATTAATGTGAAATGAAACAGAACCTAGTTGAATCAGGAGAACTAAACGGAACATAATAAATCAAAGTAAACGTAATGTCTGTGCCTCTCAATTATGATTTACGAACCTGTGCGCCTTAGAGCGCTTTATATTTTATTTTGGGCACTTTGCCCTGGCGTTGCTGGTTTTTCTTTCTCATTTATATTTTAATATTATTTAAGGAGCGCGTAGCAGCCTCCACTTTGCCACACAAGCATGATCCTGCGTTGCATCCTTCATGAAGTTTTGATACGATCAAATCCTGATGTGAACCCGTACTAGCTACCTGAGGCCACTCTGTTAAATGAAAGGATGTAGGCAGATGACTTGTATGCCTTCAAAGATGTGTTTACAGCACCAGTTTGAAATTCAAGACTCGTTAATGATTGCCTTCAAAGCAGGTGGTCTTTACTGTTTAGAGCAGGGGTGCTCAATACGTTGATCGCGATCTACCAGTCGATCGCAAAGGTAGTATTGGTAGATCGCATTACATTTAAAAAATGTATCAGTTTATGCATTTGCGTGTAGACAGAGATAACCAGAGTTTTGCGTTTTCGCACGCCACAGTGTGCTCCAAAACAACAACAAACAAAACGTGCGGCCTCTGATCACTGAATAAGCATGGATCTTACTGCCTTAAAAACCGTTCGCTGCTGCGAGCGGTTCACAGCAGCGAACATCCTCCACATCAGAGAGCAGCAAAGTGATCCTTGGGACTCACGCTCGAAAAACCACCAAAACAGGAGCTAATCCAGGACTAAACCAGGAGTAAACCAGGACTAAAACAGGATTAAACCAGGACTAAACCAGGGCTGGGGACGGGGGTCAGTGCTTGTAAACATACAGTATGTCTTCACCATGGATCTATAATAATATGTCTTCACCCTGAGTTTCTTCTATGACTGTAAAAGTGCTGCTACAGAAGTACTGGCGTCTGCATCAAAGCTCCGCCCACTTCTGTGTTTTTTTTCCCCGACGCAGGACGTCAGAGGATGCACATGTGATTGAAAACGCAGATGTTCGGTTATGTGTGGATGCAAATTATTTCTTAAATTATGCGGTTTTGCATGTACATCAACATACATTGTAGATATAAAGAATCCTCAATATATTTAGATTTAAATATATGTGTTGCATTTTTGTTGTTGGTAGATCATTTTGACTTGATCATTTTATAAGTAGCTCGCATGCTGAAAAAGTGTGAGCATTTTGTAGCATCTTGAAACCCAAATAAATTCAGACTAAACACAGCAATGAGGCTTATCAAGGGTTTAGATTAATAAGAAAACATAAAACCCTAATATTTTTGGTTGCTATGAGGCAATTAGTTACTATTTGTAAACCCCTGATAATCTACAGTTTTTTGTCAAGAATTTTTATCAAAGTCTTGGCCTAGACGCCGCCTCATATTCTTGCTGTACCATGATGTTTACTTAAATGATTATTTATGCATAACCAATCTCCCTCTCTGGTGCTGAGGAGCGGATAGTAATGACGAAAGTTGTTTCGTCATAAACTTCCAACTTTGTGACCACACCAGCATGCAAAAACTAGTCCCGTCAGACCTTTAAAGCTGTACAGGGCAGGGCCTGGTTAGTACTGTGATGGGAGACCTCTGGGAACACCAGGTGCCACAGTGGGGCGGCTGCAGCAGAAAATTGCAAAACTGTTGTTGTGTCCTGAGGCAAGACACTTCACCCACATTGCCTAGAATGAGTGTGTGTGTGAGTGAAGGATTGGTGTTGTTCAGATGGGCTGATGGCACATGCTGGTTGCTTTGCTACCGTGAGTGTGCCCCAGGGCAGCTGTGGCTACAGTAGTAGTTTATCACCTCCGTGTATGGAGTGAAAGAATAACGACATGTAAAGTATCTGTGAGTGTCTCGAAAAGCGCTATATCAAACCGATGCATTATTATTATTATTATGACTTCAGATCCTCAGATTGTTCATGAGGTGATGCCGGGGACACACACGCACATACACACACACACACGCACACACTGGAGAAATGTATCTGGATAGTCTTTGCTAGTTTACTAACTATTACTCCCACTAATGTCTGCTGTTGTTGTGTCCTTGGCAAGACACTTAACCTCTGGGAACACCAGCCACAGTGGGGCGGCTGTAAAGTGCCAAACGGCCGTTGTGTCCTTAGGCAAGACACTTCACCCGCTTGCCTCGAATGAGTCTGGTGTGTGAGTGAATGTTTTGTGGTGGTCGGAGGGGCCGATGGCACATGGTTGCCTCGCTTCTGTCAGTGTGCCCCAGGGCAGCTGTGGCTACAGTAGTAGTTTATCACCACCGTGTATGGAGTGGATGATGTGAGGCGTCTTTGAGTGTCCAAAAAAGCGCTATATAAAACCGATGCATTATCATTACTATTATTATTATTATCAATACTAATCCAAGATCTTTGAAAAGCTTTTGTGGACAAAAACGTTTATTTTGCCAATTAAACTCATCAAATCTTGTCTCAGTTTGTACTTCAATCTTCCATTCAGTTACAACCTCACAGTGACGTGAACACGGGGACTCTGGGATCATTGATCCACTCCTAGTTTTTTTAGTTACAGCATCTCCTCCAAACGCTTACTAATTCTGGGACTGGCTGCTCTCTGCAGGGGACATGGCCTCATGTCAGAGTGAGGCACAGGGAAAAGCAGAAAAAATCCTTCATCCAGACGGGGATCCAAATGTAATCACTTGTTCACCATTGTCCCATTTCTGAGGTCTCCACTTTCAAGTATTGTATAGCTTACAAACAGACATGGATAATTACCATGGTACCTCCTGGCAAAGGTAATATTATAGCAATGGAAATGATGTACATTTGAGTTCAAAATACATTTGAACTTCTGATTTATTTATAAGTTCAATTAGTCTGGGAAATTGGCCAGTTATGTATAGAATGGATGTATGTGTGGTACTTATTTCTTTTTGTATTCCTCCACAGAGACTTTGACTCCCAGCTAATATTGCGGATGTAATCTATGTTAATGGACCATGAATATTGCCAAGACTTCCTTTTCTTGAACGGCCACCCAGATGTTCGTACAAGGTGTGGGATTACGTTGAATAGTTTGTCCATAATGATCTGCATAGTGCGTTGTGTTCGTGAGAGGAAATGAAAAACCTCAGGACTGCCAACAGACCAAATCACAATATGCTGAAGCGGTCACAGAGATAGGAGCTTCTAGACTGAGCAGGAGAACAAAAGGCCAGGGAACAAACGCACACAACTGTAATTGTACTTAATTGCACAAAGATGTCATTTTGAATTTGTCAACAACCTCTGAGTTATTTCTGATGGTGCTTTGATTTTTGATGATTCCACTAAATCACATTGTTGTCCATGTCTTCTGCATTATACGTAAGAAAATGCCACAAAAATATCAGAGACTGTATATTTATACGCAGTTTTTTATATGGAATAACATATTTGCTCCTGTTTTTCTCAGAGTGAAGGTGTCTCTATCTTTCTCATGAAAGAGCAAAGATAATCAATTAAAAGATGTACACGTATATCATACATGTATATTACATGTATACACATTCTTGTAATGTTGTGGTGCACATATGTGTGTGCATGTGCGTGTGCGTGTGCGTGTGCATGTGTGTCACCAGCTCCTCATGAACGATTGGATTTTGAAAAGTCAGAAGATTAAGTACACGCCGAGAACGTTTAAAAGCGGGCTATGAAACAGTTTTGTTTTATTGCCTAAACTACTACTATATTTGGTCAGGGTACTTACACTGTACACGACTCGGAAAGAAGACTAGGTCACAAGACTAGTTGAATGCTGAGTTGTTTTGACACACCAGCCCAGTGTTAGCCTGGCCTTAGCCATCCGTACACTCTGCTCAATCATCATTTCACTGCATGTAGCGTCTGGCTCTGGTCCCTGTGTTAGTGATTACAATCGGTCGTATTTCGACCGGCTACTCAGAGAGCGCGTTGTAGGTCGGTGCCGGTGACGTCAAGAGTTTGCGCCGAACGGGCAGGTTGTAGTTTGGCAATGGCGAAGAATTCGATAGTAAAGTAATCCGGTCTGGTTCTATCAAGAAATTGAAGCAGGAGCAAGAGGAATGTTTAGCAAATGTAATCGCTGGTCAAGATTGTGGCGCTACTCCCCACGGGCTCCGTTAGCGGCAAAGGAGATGGCTAGGCTAAAGGCTAATGCTAACAACTCACTTGGGCGCACTACATGCGTCACGGTAAACTCAGATCCAATCGTTTCAATCTGCAAAAGGAGTTAACCCCTCCCACCTGTTCACGGAGCTCAATAGAGCAAATCCAGACCTTAGTATGAAATGAAATTTGTACTAAGGTGTGGTACAACCAGGCTAGCCCAGTGTGTTCGCGCAGTGGGAATGAGGTTTGAGGACGATTATCGAGAAACAAAAACGAGTCCTTGTTACTTTATACTATCAGCACAGCACATTTTTGAAAAGATGATATCTTAGCTAAGCATATAGAAGCTGTATTTAGAAATTGTGGAGCCAGCGGAAAACCTAAATCCCAGTTAGTTATGGCCTCTTTCAAGAAGTAGGCCTCTCTTTATGTGGCCAGTGTGGTGTCCTGTCACAGGTTTATGATCCGACTCATCAAATCCTGCTTGGATCTTGGCTGTTATGGCAAAATCCAGCCGAGTCTGCTCCTTTCCCGCTATTGTTGAAGGTTTGCCATTGATCAAAGATAAGCCTGTTTTCGTTCCCTTGTTTTTCGGGCCCTACCTGCACACATACACACATTCACACATACACACACACACACACGCACACACACACACACTGGGGTATCCCACGGGTGAGATCCTTTTCCAGTGGCTCTCAGTGGCTCTGAACGCTGGGGCCACTGGGACCGCGGCCCTGAATGAACGACCTGGAAATCTCACTCTTTCACATGACAGCTGCTCGGATGTGGAGTTGCCAGCCCGCCTCTTTATGCTTCCTAAGCTTCATTCACCAAAATCACAGAGGGGTGGTGTAGGTATGGCCCCACCCAGCCCCGCCCCCCCAGCCCCCTCACCAGGGACTCCTCTGACATCATGTCTCTGTCACCCAGCAGACGCCATTGTAGAGTGGCTGCAGCTCGGCCCGCCCTCCACTCTCTTCCGCTCCTTCATAGTGGCTCTCTTTTTGTTTTGTTTTCAGCGACAACAAAGGGACGCCACAGTCAAGGCTGGAGACATCCTCCCTCTCCCTGGTCATTTATAAAGCTACCCCCCCTCACCCCCACTGCTCTTGAATAGACACAAACAGAGCCCTGGCTGTGCCCACAACTTTACTCTGCCCTTTAATTTTCTGTTCGGGCCTGGCTCTTGTGTACACTCACGAGAGACACACATTTTTCTCAATTGCATCATCTTCCTTTTTGCTTCGGATGTTTGGATGTTCAGACCCAGAGTAGACGGTTTTGTCTCCACATAACTGACATCAAGTGATACAACTGTCACAATGTGGCGCCAGCAGGTGGGGCACGGGAGAATGAAGTTTAACTTTTAGAGTACACAGCTCGGAAAATATAGTATACATGTGTTATGCAAGATGACTCAGCAGGCTAATACTAATAGCAATACACCGTACATGCGGTGAGACTGACCGGCCCGCACTACAGCTCTTGGTGTCATGTTCCCTTAACCAGGGCTTACTTATCTGTCCTTTATGTGTGGTTCCAGGTGTGGCTTCATTTATCCAGGCCGACAGACTTCATGCAGTGCTGTACTCGCAAAGGGGATAGGTTAATGAAGCAGTCACTTATTAAGGTTTTTTGACTTTTTTCTACAATGTCACACCATCGTTCCCTCAAACAACTCAACAGACCTGGAGTTGTTTTTTAGAGGCATCTACGCTAAAATTGTAACTCTTTCTCCGCCCCTTCTGTCTAAAAGCTCCTTTCTCGGGCATTTAATATTATAGTTTGTTTATTGTTTAGTGTGATGTCATTGTACCACTATGACATAACACCCAGCTGTTTTCTTCCTTTTTAAACAAACAAACTTTGCTTTGCCATTTTTGAAACTGTTTGCTGCTGGTAATATTCTAATTTACTCCTCCCTCTGGTGGTAGCTTAGAGATACAGTCGGTGCAGGCCAAAGAGTATTATTTATCTGTGATCCTTGTCTTACCATAATAATTGCTACTGAATATTTTATTTCACGTTCTAAAACATAAAAATGAAGAAGTTTATGATCAAGTTTCTGTTTCACTGACTTAAGAAATTCAACTGTGAGTTATATCCATAACTGCACGTTTCTTTGAGGTTAATAAGAGAACACCTGTTCAATATGGGTATGTAATGTTTTTGTTCCTTAGACCGATATGTATCTCAGTGCAAACCTGTGTGTGTTTGTTTTCAACTTAATCAAACTTTTTCCAAAACCGTGATATTTTATTCAGTTCAATTGTGTTGTACAGGTTTTCAAATAAACATCTTGATTGATTAATTACAAGAGACTGAATCATACAGCTGTGGAGCCAATTCTTAACAAAGAGGGTTTTCACTCTGGTCAGGAGACTACGTATTAATACAGAAAAAAATATTTACGTACTGTTATGCAAAAATTCCAGGCTATGCATAAGCCTTCCTTTTGACTCATAGTGCTCTGAGGTCAGTGGAACATTGTCTCTTGGTTTTGACCACTTCCGAAGTCCAGAATCAGTTTTCAGCCTGACGAGAGTGATTGTATACTGTACATGGTTTTGGCTCGAGTACTCCTTCAAACATAACAGTGAACAGGAATGTGAAAATGACATCGGAAATAAATTCTCACCAAGACTCAACAAACAACAAGTTAATTGATTGGTTTAGTCATCACACTCGGACGGTGAAATGGACGTATGTAATGATTATTTAAAGTTAGGCAAATAGGAGTTGCAATAGCTGGGTTGGGGATTGCCAATTGCTACAAGAAGCAGCAAGGCAGATTCTACCAAAATACAAGCCCAATACTTAATTTATTGTATAAATGTTTGCACAGACCCATGCTCTACTGAGTGTGTTCCATCACTCAAGGCTCCTCCAATGGAAACGTGAAAGTGCCCCTCAAGAGAACAACATTTGGATAGTCCGTCTTCTCTGTACAGGGGGAAAAGCTCTAAAACTCTTTAAGTCCCTCAGCTTAAACTGAATTTGGACTGGGCTGGTTTTTAACCCAAGCTAATGTATTACAATGTAATGTGTTTTGAAGTATGTTAAAACCCCTTTTTAGGACTGAAGTGTAGTGGTTGTGTACACTTGTCCTTACTAAATAAATACGCAAATAAAAGATTAAAAAAAAAAAAGTGAGCTATTTCATCATGACTATCTCTTGACTGGCACCCATTGGCAAACACTCAACTCATAAACTACTATTAGTTTTGGGCCATTTAAAAAATCCATGCATCAGGACCGCTGGAATGATCGACACCACTTGACAATTTAATGGGCCTTCCCGGAGCCATTTCAACCTTCTTCTTTTGTTCTCTATCTGTCTGCAGAATCTATATGTATCATCCTAGGTCATGGCTCTTGTCTTGTGCTGAGATTTATACCTGCTTGAGATGCTTCGCTCTGCAGGAGTCCATCTCCGTTTGAACTCAGACAATAAGCCTGCGGTTGCATGACAGAAAAGAGTAAGAGGTGGATGGTAAGGCTGTCACATATTGTTTGAATCATCCTCACCGTGGGATTGCTATAGCTGTCTTTCTTCGCTTTCAAACATGGAACACGGGCAAATGAGAACCAAACGCTTGTTCAATCCAGGAAAGACAGTCACATCCATTTCAATCTAACACTTTAGACATAGCTCTTGCCAATGATTTGATTTGGCACAGAAGGACTTGTTGTTCTATTTGGTCATTTTCTTGATTTATGACAAGACGACAGTGACATTGAATTTGAGCCCAGTCAAAAATCTAGTTCAAATCAGATACGTCAGATAAGAAATTAAACCAGAAATTCCCGTCTTTGTTCAATTTGATCAAAGTTGGCTGTTTAGCCTTCATGTGAGTTAAGGTTTGAATGTTTAGAGCCGCCCCTCAACTCGCTCACAGGCTTCTCATTTCCCCTACGCTCTCATTCCACGGAGCCATCTAGTTTTATTTTGCGATCTAGATGCAAACATTAGCATGAGCGCAACTTCTTGTGAGCTGTACAACAATCAATGATGAATTGGTACAAAAGCAACGCACTGCTACCAAAATATAAAACTGAAAGATTACCGCTAGTTCTGCGTCCGAATGTAGTCCGAGCATAGATAGTCCGAGCACAGATAGTCCGAGCATAGATAGTCCGAGCATAGATAGTCCGAGCACAGATAGTCCGAGCATAGATAGTCCGAGCATAGATAGTCCGAGCACAGATAGTCCGAGCATAGATAGTCCGAGCATAGATAGTCCGAGCATAGATAGACAAGTCTCTCCGGAGGATACGATGTAAGCTAGCTATGTTCACCAGGGCTTGATATCTTCTTTGATAATTTTTTTCTCTTTAGTTCCCTCTTCTCTTCCTCACTGTTGTGTCATTTGGCCTGTTTTGTTGTGTATGCAGTTACAGCAAGAGGAGTTATAGCCAATTCTGCTAACATGCTACTGTGTTTAGCAGCGCTGTAGAGGCTGGAGGTAGGCCTGTCGCGATATTCAATAAATCAATGAATCGCATGATAATTAAAATTATCCTGGCCGCGATAAATTCCATTTGCATGCTTGTTTGTTTTCCCGTCTCTCTCTCCCTCTCTCTCGGGTCAGAGAGCCGCAAAGTGGTCATGCGAGTAGACTGAAATAACTCAAAAATACAAAATACAGCCAAAACAGGACCTAAACCAGCACTCAACCAGGATTGACAATGGGGACACAGTACCTGAATTCATACACAAGCGGAAACAATGAGCTCAAGTTTTCAATTGAATTACGGATAATTATACAACTTGTATGTAGAAATAAGCATTTTTATATTGCATCTTTAAGGTTTTTTTAAGCTCAGGACTCATTAATGTTTACAATATAATTACATAATAAAGAACTAGTTTTGCTCTGTTTTGGTTGAGCACATAAAGTTCAGTTTGTATGAAATAAAGTAGTTAAAGGTAATTACTTTTCAATCAAAGTGAATGGAAGCCAACATTAGAAGGAGCAAAATTTCAATCATGAACATTTCTCCACTCGGCTTAAGACAAATGTGGAGTGTGGACCTCAAAAGTTCAATTTTTACCTTTTTTTAAAATCTGAAATACACTGAAAACTCGTTGAAATTGACCAGAGGGAAAAATATCCCTTGTGTTGTCTTCATTTTCAGTGTCCTTCTGGATCAAAACGACCCACCTTTACTAACTGACTTTAAATGAAGCATATTACTTGACAATATATTTTTCCTGGAAAGCCAACATGCATAACTGAACTTCATTCGGAAAAAGCCATTATAAAATATCAATCAATCAATCAAAGTTTATTTGTAGAGCGCCTTTCATACACAGTGCAACACAAAGCGCTTCACAGTCCACATTTCACAACCACTTTTTCAGTCCAAATATCTTATGATTCATTGGTGAATTTGCCTCTCTTTTGTTCTGGTTTATTTTTTTATGTTTTGTAAAGCGTATTTGAGTGTCCATAAAAGCGCAATATAAGTTTGATGTGTTATTAGCTGCAGGTGTGTTTTTGCAGTTTGCAAAAGCCCAAACTTTGATGGTAAAAGCTTCACTCTATAAGACCAATAATATCTTCACAGTTTTCTGTTGAAGCTTGAACAACTCCCAGTGTGCCCTCCTCCTTCTCTCTTCGATCAGAATGTGCCAATATCTGAGCTCAACCTCTCTGCTGACACTGTGTTGATCCTGGCGAAACCCTACATCGACCAACCCATTTTTAACAGCAATGATCATTAGTAAAGCGCCATTGAAAAAGTGGTTGTGAAATGGCAGGGGAATATGCATTTCAGCCAAGCATGAGGTGTGTCTGATGTGGGTCCTGTGATTCAGCCTGTCCGTTATTAGAAATGAATCCTCATTGTCATAACATGTTACATATTCAAGTCAGGCCCAATAAAGCATATTGTATCTGTGACTTTTCCAGGTCATAGACTCTGCCTGTGTTCTTTTTGTTATGTTTGGAGCTAGTTACAAGGTGCTTTGAGTACAAGGGCCTATTTTTGTTATTGATGAGTGGCATTGGTCTTTTCGAGTAATGTGAATCTCACAGGGGGACTCTTCAGTCTGTTTTTCCACCACTGAGTGAGTGTG